CCCCCCCACCTCCTCTTTCTCGGGCTGAGGCTGATGCCCTTTTCTCCTGCCCTGACAGGTACTTCAGGTGGTGGTACCGCCGAACCCGGGTGGAGAAGAAGCAGCCCTTCATTGACCTCTTCAACTCCCAGTCTCTCCACCAGATCTATGGTGGGTGGGGAGGATGCAGGGGGTGGTGGTGGTGGTGGTCAGTGGCCGCAGCCTGTGGGTGGCAGGTGGGGCTGGATGCTGACCTTGCCAGGGGCCCCGGGGTGGGCACCGAGGGGAGGGCAAGGTTGGGAGTTCTTGGGGGGGGGCCAAGCCCTGGCCGTCTGTCCCGCTGTGGGTGTGGGCCCGAACTAGCGTCCTGCTTCTCTTCCCCCTGCAGGCTGCCCCCTGGGGGGGTTTGGGGGAGGAAGCATCACCCGCGGCTGGCGAGGCGACTTCTGCCGATGGCAGTTGAACCCGGGGCTCTACCACTACAAGACCGTTGTTGCTGACCAGGTGTGCTGATGGGGAAGGGGCCGGCAGGGGTGGGGGATCGGGTGCCCTCCACTCCTCAGCCAGCTTGTCATCCCCTGCTTCCCTCTCCCCACCTCTCCTGCAGGGCGGCTCACCATGCCTTCCGCGGGGGGGGGGCGGCCATCCCTCCTGGGCTGCTCCTCCTGGGAGTCTTGGTGGTGAAGGAGTTTTTCGAGGGGAGGGGGGGCTGTTGCCTGGTCTCTCTGTGCGCGTAGGATGCTGTGCGCCCCCCTCCCCCGGTATCACCTGTGGATAGATCTTGCCCCATTAGGGTTGTTACGATGGGGGGGGGCACTGAATGTTTCCTCCTTCTCCTCCTCCTCCTCCTCCTCGTAGTTCACGGTCTGCCTGCGCCGGAAAGGCCAGACGGTGTACCAGCAGGTCCTCTCGGTGGAGCGTCCCAGCCGCCTGCCAGGGTGGAACTGGGGCTTCTGCGGCCACTACGCCTTCTACCATGCCCTCTACCCGCGCGCATGGACGGTCTACCAGCTGCCTGGGCAGGACGTGGTGCTGACTTGTCGGCAGATTGCCCCCATCATCCCTCACGATTATCAGGTGAGCTGCTCCCTGCTGGCCATTGGTGGGGCGGGGGAGGGGGGGAGAGATTTGCCCTAATTCCCGGATGATGCCCTCCATTGGGGGGCTGTGAGCACGGAGGGGCCTGAGCATGCCTCTGAGTACACTTGGTGTCTGCCAGCCCCACACCGATGGGGGGGGCACAGTCTTGCTCCTGTGGGAAGCACGATGCTGTACTAGATGCCCCCCTCCCCTGAAGTGCTTTGATGGGGGAAAATGTGAGGGGGCTTCTGAGCATGCTTGGAGAGCCCTCATTCCGCCCCTGCAGGTTGTGCTGTCACTCAAGACATTTCCTCTCTCCTCAATGGTTATCCCAGCCTCAGGTTCCCTTCCTAAAAAGACATGGTTCACCTGCTGGGATGAGTGGGCTGTAGTTATTTATTTATTTAATAAAAATGTTTCTATTTAGCCTTTTGTTTAAGGAAGATTCAAGGTGCCTGCAAAAACAATAGTTAAAGCTAAAAGTAATACCTATACAAATTCTAAAAATGCTCGAGCAAGTGGCAGTATAAGAAATGGTCATTGCAAGGATTATTGAAAGCACAGGCAAAGCAGTAAGGTGTAGCAGTCCATTTAAAAGGCCCGTCCAGGCAGTCACTCAAGAACAACTGGCCTGAAGAGAAAGGCTCTTTACCTGCTTGCAGAAGGATAGCAAAGATGGGGCCAGCCTGGGCCTCCAGTGGGATGGAGTTCCAAAGTCTGGGAGCAGCCACAGAGAAGGCTCCTCTCCTTTGTACCCACCAAGCATGCCTGTGAGGATGGCGGGGCTGACAGAAAGGCCGTGCCTGATGATCTTTACACCCGAGCAGGCTTACAGAGGGAGACAAGGTCCTTGAGGTAGGTTGGAACCAAGTCCTTGAGGGCTTTGTAGGTCAAAACCAGCACGTTGACCTGTGCCCAGAAACTGATCAGCAGCCGGTGGAGCTGCTCACACTGGTTCCTAATTCAAAGTAGGGTTGAGAGAGCTTTCCAGAAGCCCAGCTTGCAATTCTGCCAGTCCCAGACCACCTTTGCTTGTGCCGGCATTTCCTTCCTGAGCATATAGTAAGTCAGGCAAATGGGCTGCAGGCAGGAAATAACCCCCCCCCAAGAAAGAAGGGGCAGTGACTCCTCCCTCAAGAAAATGGGCCTGGGTTGCCTTCTGTGAAACTGCTCCCCTCTATACAACTCCCTCTGCAAAGGCATAAAGTTACACAAACTTCTCTCAAGAACAAATGGAGTCAACTTAACAAAAAACAACAACAACATTAAGTCTGGTGACGGTGGTCTGAATAAATTGCAGTATTGAAATATAATTAAATATATAGCAGTACTAAAAAGATGCTCATTAAAAGCCATAAAAGCACGTCACAAAGCAAGAAGCTGGATTTTCACCCCTGCTAAAATGTGTTTCTCACCCAGGTGTCCCTCTGCGTTTAAGGGCCGTCTTTCCCTCTCTGTTGCCAAAACGGCATTTGCAGCTCAAGTGAGCGTGAATTGGTGCCGGCCCAGGTCTTTGTCCTCCTGGCTGGGCAGAAACTTCAGAACCGGCGTTCCACAAGCCCTTTGTGACAGCAGACTAGAGTGCCTTTGCCTCTGTTGGAGGAGAGTCGGGCTTGGGGAGGGGAGGAGCTAACAGGCCTTTGTTCCAAATCGCCCCCTGGGATGATGGGGCGGAAGAGGTCAGTGGGCCCGGGGTCAGTGGTCCGGCTTCCTGTGGTTTTGCTCTGGTTCCCCCCCCCCGATCAATCGATGACAACAGAGGGCTGCTGGCAGACCTGGGACCGCTCCAGCCTGCAGCTGCCCCAGCCCCGGACTCTGGCCTCCTTTGTGCCCCTAGGACACCAGCCTGCCCGTGGGGGTCTTCGTCTGGGAGGTGGAGAACCTCAGCCACGAGCCCACCGAGGTCTCCCTCATGTTCACCTTCCTGAACGGCACGGACACCAAGGCCGACCGGAGTGGGGGCCACTGGAATGAGCCCTTCAGCCTGCAGAAGGATGGGCACGGCGTCCGTGGAGTCCTGCTGCACCACTGCGTGCCAGTGAACCCCTACACTCTGGCCATCTCTGCCCGGGAGAAGGTACCCCCGGGGGGGGCGGGACCAGTGGGGCTGTGCAAAGGAGGGGGGGCTCTTCTCGGAAGGGGGGTTAGAAATGAAGGGGGCACGGGTCATGCTGTGCGTGGGGGAGGCAGGTCCCTCCTTGGTGGCAGGGGAGGTAGCTGGATCACCGTGAACATGGGACGGGTGGCCACTTCAGGCTGGAGGGGAGCCAGAGGAAGACGGGCGATCCCATCCTTGCTCAGCACGGAGTTCAGGGGAAGAGGCTGTGCCTGGAGTCCGGCCCCCAGAGGAAGGGCCCGCCAGAGGCCACGGAAGGACGTGCCTGGGGCCTCGTTGAGGGGTTACCAGGAGGTGTGGCCTGGCTGTTGCCTACACGTGATCTGGGTGGCCCCTTAACACCCACGTGGGGTCGTGGCTGCTTGTGGGCTTGGCTGGCTTCAACGGAAGCCCTGGGACTTACTAGGCGCAGAAGACACGGACACAATCTGTGGAAGAGTGGGCAGCCGCTTCCTCCCTGCCTCCCCCTGAGGAATCGCCCACAGGAAGGATTAGGGGGGGCAGTTCCCATCAGGTGGCTTATTTATTTATTTGTTTGATTTATATTCTGCCCATCTGGTCTGGTCGACCACTCTGGGCGGCTTCCATTAAAAAAAGTATACAATAAACCATAAAGATTTTACAGACTGTGACACATGCAGTAATAAAACAAATAATAAAAGAAAGGAAAAAAGAAATTAAGTATTGACAGGAGGGAAGGCCTGAATGTACAACCATGTTTTTAATTGGCTCTTAAAAGTGCCCAGCGTAGGGGCC